TGCCCCCTAGTGCCCATTATACAGTATAGCCGCCCCTTCCCCATCCACCCTCTGCTGCCCCCTAGTGCCCATTATACAGTATAGCTGCCCCTTCCCAACTCCACCCTCTGCCGCCCCTAATGCCCATTATACGTTATAGCCACCCCTTCCCTGCCCACACCCTCTGCTGCCCCTAGTTTTATTCTTTATAAAACATATTTCAACATATTTGCCTGGTATTGACTTTAGACTTACCTGTCTGTAGTTGCCGTGATCATCTCTAGAACCCATTTTAAATATTGGCGTTACATTAACTATCTTCCAGTCATTCGTTACAGAAGCTGATTTAAAGGACAGTTTACAAACCACAGTTAATAGTTCTGCAATTTCCCATTTTGAGTTCTTTCAGAACTCTTGGGTGAATGCCATCTGGTCCCGGTGACCTGTTACTATTAAGTTTATCAATTTGTTCCAAAACCTCTTCTAAAGACATTTCTATCTATGACAATTGCTCAGATTTGTCACCTACAAAGGACGGCTCAGGTTTGAGAATCTCCCTAAAATCCTCAGCCGTGAAGACTGGAGCAAAGAATTCATTTAGTTTCTCCACAATGACTTTATTGTCTTTAAGTGTTCCTTTTGTATCTCGATCATTCAGGGGCACCACTGATTGTTTAGGAGGCGTCCTGCTTTTGATGTACTTTAAGAAAGGATTGCCTCTTTGCTAAATGAACGGAGAGGAGGGCATGTATGTGGGGTTTACCCTGCTTTACTCAATGGTCTCAGTGGTTGCTGGGTGTGCAGTGTGGGAACCTGGGTCAGAACATTACACCCACAATTTTCTTGCTACATTTGTAGTTTCTTGATCCTGTGCCCCTGAAATGCTCTGTTTTCCAAGTTTCTCAGAGAAAGGGATTTTTATTTATTTGTTTGTTTGTTTTTACTCCTAACTCACATCTTCCAGTAGGACTTCTTATTTATCTTGCCAAAATATCATTTTAAATTTATTAGCAAATTACATCAAAGAGAAAGAGCAAAAACCATCACATGCTGCCAGCCAGTGCATCTCAGAGCCTTACTCTAGTGTAAGCTGCCTAAGAATGTCTTTTAGGAATATTTAGGGGAAGAGGGATATAATCATAAATCTGCCAAGTTAGGGATAGAGATTTTAATTTTGATATTTAATATAAGTAGGCAGACAAACAAAATAGTATTTATCAACATAAGAATATTCAAAGTAATTCTGAGCATAAAGCTAGATAAATATACCCAAGCATTTGTGAATACTGTTGTACAGCAATACAACTGTTTAAGTTATACGAGTTTTGAGCACAGCTATTATTTTACAGATGCTACATAAAATATATACAGTGCTTCTCTGTCTCACGAATCACTGGTTGAAATTTTCTGGCCTGTATTAAGCAGAATAAAGGAATGAGATTATCAATATGGACCCTTAGTGGTTTGCAATCAAGGAATCTATGATATGTACTATGGCACTCCAATCCAATCTGCTGGCATAGATTTCTGCCCGTGTGCAAAAATAACATGGAAGTCAAGAGTCATCTCCCAGAGCTGTCGCGTGAACTGGTCAGGTTAGGCATGGAAAGATCTATCAGGGTATGTCTACACTACCCCGCTAGTTCGAACTAGCGGGGTAGTGTAGACATACCCCTAGTTAGGCTTTTAGTTCCTTACTCTGGCTCACAAAAGTTTGACCTCAATTTCAAAAGTGCTAAGTATCCAGTAAGTCTCAGGCCAGGTTTACAATAGACCCGGAGGCTTGTCTTAAGGTATGCAACTCCTGCAATGTAAAATACATAGTTGGAGTCAGCTTACCTTAAGCCAAGCTTTGTGCCATCCCCACAGCAGGAAGCTGATGGGAGCAAATACTCCTGTCTGCTTGGCTTTCTTTACTTATTGCAAGAGCAGGAGTACCAGTTGCCAGGAAGGGCACCCTTTGAGTTCACTTCAGTGAGTTTAGTTAAGACTCTCGTTAAGACTTGCTAAATCAATCTCCAGAAGATTGATCACAGCAACATCTATCTTCTGTGGAGTGAAGACAAGGCCTCAGTGACTTCAGTGTGAGGTTTTGAGCTCTCGGTATCTTTAAAAATCAAATCAGTTATATGGGTAAATACTGAGGAAGCTGTTCAGAAGTGCTAAGGAATATTATTTAAAATTAGGCCTGAGGAAGCACTGGGGAAAATCATTCAAGAGATAACTAAAAATCCCAACCCAACAAACTCCAACAGCTGAAATGCTGCATGGGACTGACCTAACATTAAAAGGAGACTTTTCTGTAGAGCTCTTCAGGATTTTTCCAGTCTTAAAATTTCCCTGAAAATTGTACAATTTGCACAAAAGGAGGTGAACATTTTATGAAATATTTCTCTTTTTCTGCTATGTTCTTCCTTTGACATTTCGAATTCTGCATTTATAAAACTGGGATGCTGATGAAAAGGTTCTGACTTTCAGAATTGTATTTCTTTATGTATGTGTTTTTGTTTTGTTTTGTTTTGTTTATTTCATTAAAGGTTTCCCTTTTCATTTTCCTGGCAGATTTAGAACAGGTCAGTTGTTTTCAGTTTTAAATGACAAAATATCAACTATAAAACCTGAGGGTCATCTAGGTAAGTAAAACAAAATGGTTCTGACCTTCCCTCTTTCCCACCCTTTAGACTAAATCTACTTTTCATTCACTAATTTCTCCAGTTCTTTGGAAATATGGGTATGTCTACACTACACTAGTTCGAACTAGGGTGGTTAATGTAGGCAACCGGAGTTGCAAATGAAGCCCGGGATTTGAATTTCCCGGGCTTCATTTGC